CGGCCGGACCCGAAGGGCAGACGCCAAAGGTAACGAGCAGGCGCCCGGTTCTGCGCGAAGGGGCTTTGGGGACTGCCCAGCTGTCCCGGGGCAAGGGGGGCCGGGCTGCTGCCCCCACACACGTGCGGCTTGGAGGACAGTATCACGGGGGAGACGAACCTCCGGGGTCCCCCCGTTCCCCAGCCGAGCCCTCCGGGCGCTTGCTTCCCGTGGAAAAGGCAGCCAATTTTGCCCTAGTAAGACCCGACCCGAGGGTTTCAGTCTTTTGCGGGAGCTGAGCTCCGGACCCCGGGCGAAGTGTTTGGGTTGGGTGGGAGCCAGCTCCTCCCAGATTGCTCCCTCTCGAGGGAGTTTGCGATTATAGAAAGTACAAACAGCAAGTAATTCACCCTCTTCGCTGCTTGCTTCGTGCCTTTCTTCGAGTCAGATTAGGGGCTCCTATTGGTGCCTCTCTGATAGCTTCATCTGGGCCCGAGTCTTGTCTTGCTTGCCCCAGCTAAATGTACATCGGTGTAACTTCTTTGCTCCCAATGAAATGGCTCCTGATTTACACCAGTGTGAGTCAGATCAGAATCAAGCCCCTAGTAAAGACGTGCTCGTTTCAATTTCTGTCCTTGGTGGGGTGCCTGCTCTGAAGTTCCTGCCACCTCCAGCAGGTATCTGATACCATTGTCCTCAGCCTTGTAGGACTTACCTGTTCTGCTGGCCTTTGGTATTAAAGGGTTCTTCTCAGGATGCCAACCTAGGGCTCTATTACCTTTTTGACTAACCAGGCTTCTCAAGTCCAGGCTTCATTTTTTCCTCCCTGCTGTGTCATCTTTATTCCTATGCACTTGTTTTTATATGCTGACTGTTACTGATCTCAGTGTTCCCAGTATGACCTCACCAGGCCGCACCGTGACTAGATAGTTTTACCATTTGCTAGTTTTCTGCTTATATTATCTATGCCAAAAGTTTTAATGTTTATATTCACTCCCCTTTCCCTAGATCAGTCTCAAGTTTCATATTTGCCTGTTAGAGATATATAAACTCTTCTTGGTTTGTTTGGCTGTCTGTAAGCACACTATCTTACATTCTAAACTTAAAATAGCAATTGAAGGAAATGCTCGGGAGAGCTCTGTGCTTGGTGTATGACTAAGCTGTAAGAAAATGATGCACTATACCCATTTTAAAGCTAGGGAAGCCCACAAGGTGAATTTAATGGACTTGTCCATCACAGTGAGTCAGTGGCAAAGCTGTAAAGATGCTGTACTGGTTTAAATTTCTAGATTTATGGCAGTTAAACAAGAAAGTCAGGGTGTTAGTATGAAGTATAAATATTTTCATAAAATTGTTCCCGTGAAAGCAGTTTCTGGTTGGACTTGAAATTCCCCTGCAGTGTTTTTAGCCTGAAGAACATCACTGTACAGTGCACGAGACTGCCACCTGCAATTTACTATACACAGAAACTGAAACTGACCAGTTTAGGTGTACAGTCTAAACTGTATGAAATGCAAAACGTAAATAAGTGGCATAAACCGGGAGACTTTTTCAAAATTCTTTCCATTTTAATAACCTATGGCGGTACTAACATTAGTAAAGAAATGACTGAAATACTTAGGACCAGATCCTGATTTTATTTATACCACTGTAAATTTGGAGTGACTTGGTGAAAATCAGAGGGTTTAGGAACTGATCCCAAACCAATACAATTAATGGGAATTTTAAAGGGCTATAGAGCAGGCTTCATTCAAGATTTACCTCACCAGGGTTACTGAGATGGGCATCTAGCCCATGATTTTTGTATAAATTGTGTCTTAACCTATTCCTCACAAATGACTATGCATATGCCAAATCTGGAACTTTAATCCAAACTACTTATTTGAATAATTCTTAAATTGGTAAAAATATATTGGTTTTCATGTGGGTTTTTTATGCTCTTTTCAACCAAAAAATGACTAAATGGATTTTTCATCTTTCCATAATCTCTCCTATCTAGGATGAGAGAAGGAGTTTATGCAATTTCAGGCCCAAAGATCATTTTTGTGGGGGAAGGTAATAAGTCTCTGGAAACAGAGGTTTAGAATGAAAGTGCTCTCTTAACCATAACTATCCCTTTGGGTAAATAGGCTTGTATTGAAAATGCACTCTTCAAAACTGCAAAATAAAACCTGACTTGTCAGACATGATGTACTGTATTCTCCTTCAAATGAACCTTTTTACTTAACAACACTTGCAGTAGAATTGATTCTTTATTTTACAGCCCCCTTTGAATATCCTCTGAACACAAGTAGAAGACTGCTCTTTGGACTGCTAACCTGATCCTGTTCATATTGAAGTCAAGGGTAATGCACTCATAGATACAGGATCAGGTCCTAAATTTCTAAGTTACACCTGCCAAGTTGCTATAACTCCAGAAATCTGACAGATGAAATTGCCTCTCCTTCATTTCCTCTGAATTTTCCATCAAAACAGTTGCATCCCCCTGAGATTCACAGAGTACAGATTCATTTTTTAGTGTATTACATTTTTGGCTTTGGAAACTACTTTGAGTCACATGAAATATGAGCTAGTGGTGAGAAAAGGGACATGATGTCACTTCATTTAGCCCCTGTTAGGGGATCCAAATCTGATTTCATATACATGCACTAGAGCCAGGGAAGCAGCAATGAAGGGAGAACATGTGACTGGCCATAGGACAGTTCAGTCCTCTGACCATGAGGTTATGTACTTTGGAAATCGGCTAGTGGCTAATTCAGTAGCAAGTAATAATATTGCACTTATGCAGATAGGTTCCTCCTCACCCTCTCCAACTTCCTAGAGTAAGCTTATACTGGAACGGCAGACACAGTGGCATAGCAAGGGGGGGGGGCGGAGGGGTGCCATGCTAGGGGGGCACCAGTTTAGTCCCCCTCTGCTTCCCCTGTCATCCCTCAGCTCGCCTGCTCCTCCTCTGCCCGCTGCTGCTGGCTGGAGCCTCCTCCCCACCTCTCCGCCCCCAGCCCAACCCCCCTCCATCTCTGCCAGTGGGTTAGTGCATGCGGGGGCCTAGCCCCAAACTGGAGGGGGCGGGGTAAGATGCGGTACAAGCTCCCCCCTCTCCTCCTAGGGTCGGGCTCAGCTGTGTGCCAGATTCGGAGTCCCACCACACGGTGGTGGAGGGGGGAAACAAATTTTGCCTTTCCTGCATAACACCCTCACTACGCCTCTGGGCAGATACATCCTAAGATATTGGGATAAACTGGTCTAATGGGGAAATGAGGTGTCTCCATTTATCAGCCTCCATGGCAAAGCATTCCTGATCTACACTGGTACAAGTGAGGTGAGCGCTATGCCTTAGGAATCTAACCCGAGTCTCCTACGTAGACATCCAGGACATTCTCATTGTAGCTAGGCCTTCCCTATGCCCATTGGCCGAATGGACAGGAGGGTGCTTGTTTGATTTTTACCTGATTTTCTGAGCATTATTGCTCTCTGAGGCAACGTCTGCACTGCAGCTGGGACCCAGCTTCCCAGCCTGGGTAAAGAGACACATGCTAGCTAGTGCACTCACAATAGCAGCATCGCCGGTGAAATACGGCCTAGGTGCCTGAGTACAGACCTGTGGGGTCCCTACTTACGTGCTCAGGGGGCTAGTCTGAGCTACCCCCTTTGCTACCCCTGGCTGCACTGCAGTTTTTAGGGCACTAGTTTAGGCAAAGCTAGGCTGTCTGTCTAGCAGGCTACATCAAGCCAGCCTTTTATCATACTCAGGAGCTGCAATGGAACATTTCCTCTGTCCAAGGAAGATCAGCAGTTCTTCTCTCAAGCAGAGGACTTCATGTGGAAGTATTTATTTTAAGTAATAATCTCACAGTAACAGTGGGGCATGGAATTAAAAATTGTATCCTATCAAACTCGCAAGAGATGCCTCTCCTTGCTGCTTATGGGATAAAGCCCCCCATTCATCTGCTGCCATCCATGCTGTTATAACCCCGGCCAGTGACATTTGCAAAGGACCTTTGGAGCCCTGGGTGCGTGGCTGGGGAAAACGCTCTTGTGCTTCTGTTCTGTTTGGAGCCCTGTCCATCTGGGAAGGAGAGAGCAGCGGGCCTGCTGGAATGGCGTGACTGTCTTCTAGTGTCTGCTGTCTAGCAGGCACCTAATCAGGTGAACCAGTTAGCAGGCAAGGGATTAGTAAAATTAATCCTGTCTGCTGGATGAGGGAGCAACTGTATCGGTGTGTTTCTCATCAGCTGAGGTTCAGTGATTATATTCTGTGCTTACAGAGCCTTTCGTTTCAGGATCTCCAAGCACTTCACAAGTATTAATCAGCGCCAACCACTCCCCCCCGCTTCCCTCTGTTTTCCAGAGGAGCAAACTGGGGCCTTCCAAACCTAATGATTTTCAAAAATGCTTAGCATGTCCTGCATACAAAGGAGAGAGGAGTGGCTCAGTACCTTGGGAAATCAGGTCATGTACATCTTGCTTTAAACTGCCCAGTGTGGCAGTGTCTGAACTTGGAGCAGAATCCAGGAATTTTGACTCGCTGTCCCTGTTCTTACCTTTGGACAGCACAATCTCTCGCACAGCTCTGCCTTTCTCTCATTTAAAAAAAACAACCCACGTAGCAATTATCAATTTAATTAGATTAAGAAATAATGAGAATTGATATGCTGGATTAATTACAAGTAAATTCCCAGATTGGTTTGTGAAGAATGCATGCAGTGGACTCTGCGTAGTGGCACTGAGTTGGCAAGCTGAATTCCTGGAGTCTGTGCAGATGATGGCAGTGATCAGGTTTTCAGCTTGGTTGGCCTCTTACTTTCTGGGGCAGGCAGGGACTGGCAGGGAGGGTTAAAATGGCAAGGAGCCCCCTAATGTTCCCAGTGGTGTATGGATGAAGCATAGCTGATAGATTCTGGAGAAAAGCAGGACCACTTTGAGTGGGGCTGAACTATAGAAGAAGAAGGCATCTGGCATCCCAGAAGATTCCCCAGTTGTCAAAAATAACAAGGCCTTGTTAATTTAATGGTTAAAAAAAATGGAATTAACCCCCTTTTCCCGGAGA